TCAATGTAAAAATTATAAAGATTAAAGTTTGCTTGAAGTATTTTGTTTGAAATCTGAGAAGTACATTTGTTACTTCCTAAAAAAAATAATTATCGGCAGACCCGATGACACCTTTAAAAGTGCTTACTCTGGTAAAGTACCACACGATAGAAATGTAATGAAGCAAACATTTTTCAACGAATAAAATCTGACGTGTACGTGAATCATAAACGCGGCAATTACTTCGATACAAAAAAGCGCCAACATGGACAAAAGCAAACGACAGCTTGGTGGAGACTTTGGTAAACAGGTAAATAAGGATCGTGACAAAAGAATTCCGAGAACAGCTCAATTAGAAAATTTTCACGCATGTTTACACCATCAGGTAAATATAAATAAGTAATTAATAAAAAGGTTGCCCTTTCTCACTACTACGTAAAATATATCGTTTATCCCGTTATTTACCCACCATCGGTTCCATTTGGATTCGGCGTCAAATATATATGCATAAACATTCTTATACAAATACTAGTGCGCGGAATCTAAGTGATTCCTGAAGCGTTATAGCGTTATAATTTAGTTTAGATTATTAAAACATGTGTATTCCTGTAGGAAAGTTATTGCAGGGCAAGTTCGAGCAATTCTGTGACAGGATTGCTTTTTTATATCTATCTAACATACTTTTTAAGTTAAGTAATTAAATACATATACAAGTATATACATTAGGTAAATGTTTAAATACTGTTACAGCTGAATAAACTTAATTGTTATTTGCAACTTTTATAATTAAAACCAATACTTTTGTACAAAAATTACTTGCACTTTCTATTTCTAGTCCAACACACAGTCCTTTTCATAAATTACAGCCACATATAATTTCCAACAGCTTAAATGTAAGATAAACGAATGAAAAATATTTTAAGCGAAGTCATTAAATTAATATACTTTCAAATTGACTTCACACAAATGTAAATTTGAATACAAATGCTGTGCCATTAAATTTAATATTTTCATATATTAATCAATGGTGTGCTTATTTCTGTGTAAAGACACGAGAGCGAAACGCATTATTTTTTCAATGTAAATATACTCGTACATAAGTATTCGTGCTTATCGTTTTTTGTTATTTTCTTTTAATTTGTTGTATATTTTTTATTTACTTATTTATTCATTTTATTTTGTTTTGTTTTATTTTTTTCATTTTTTTTTTTTTTATTTATTTTTTTTTTTTTGGGGGGGGGGGCGGGGGGGGCGTCTTTTTAGTTGTTTTTTTTCTGTACTTTTATCAAGATATCCAAAAAGATCGAATTAATGACCTTGACCGACAAGGTCAAACGTTTGAATTTTGTTTGAGTTTTGCCAAATCTGGCTGTAACATTGTTTTCTATTGATAGGTTATCACTATAATACAAAACCATATCATTATTTATAAATGATCTTCATCTTCAGATGACTTTCTTATTAATATTTGGACGTCTTAAATACTTCCAGGGATGGGGATTGACTTCGGTTCAGCCTACACTTTACAAAGACCCAATAAAACCAAAGCTTCATTTTGTAACACATTTTGTGTGTAGTTGTGCTGCTGCTCCTGCCATTGTTGTTGTTGTTATTGCTGTGTTTGTCAATGCTCACAGTGACCCCCTTTTCTAGAATTAAGATGACCATCTAAAACGCGATGGAAAGATGGTGAAAACGCGATGGCATGACGATGAAAAAGCAACGGTACCATGGTGAAAACGTGATAGTTCGATGGTGAAAACACGATTGTACGATGGTGAAAAAAACGATGGTATGATAGTGAAAACATCGCGTTTTCATCCATCGTACCACCGCGCCATCACTATTTCACATTCGTACCATCGTGTTTTCACCATCGTACCATCGTATTTTCATCATCGTGTCATCGTACGTTCACGTCTTCACCATCGTACATCGCGGATAGTCACTATTTCCAAACGGAACACCGTAGAAAACCATATAAACTGTTAAGAAAACCTGCAAGTGTCGGTCACAGCGCAGTTTATGTCGGATAAAATATGTCTCACTTTATTGGCGATCCTTCAATTAACCTCCGAGATTAATGACCCGTGCATGAATATGATTTGCGTCAGTATATTGGCAACACTTTGTCTTTTGATGTTATTGTTTTTTCAATCTTATAGGTCAAGCGGAAATTACTTCAATTGAGGTCCTATATGAATTTGTATTCTGTGACAACGTAAACATTTAACATTTTTCTTAATAAGTATCAAAGACAAGCCTGTTGCCCATTATGGGTTTGGAAATTAACTTTTATACCGCATGGTCTGTTTACAAATTAGTTGCTTCTTTTCATTAAAATAAAAACATATTAATGGGGAAATCTTGCTTCGTTGGTGTCTTAATTTCAACATCAAGTTAAAGTACAGCACGTATCGAAAGAACATATCGAGATAAGGTGTGTTAAATGGTATGTTAATTTATAACTGCGGATTTTAAATCTCAGCATAAATGCTCTATATAGCATTTTCATTTATTAATATTTCACGATAAAGCTGATTTGTGCTTGACATTAAAATAGGATTTTTACTCCGAAATGATTGCGACTGCATGCAAAAATTCTAGAAATTGGATCCCACGTCAGAAATTTAAATCAAAGAAAACAAATAGTTGAAAATCGCACTCTAGATTCATTTCGTCTCTTACACAAAGTGTTCGTGAAAATGTCTACGTCGCTTGTAACCGCCACCAACCCAGCCCCCAATATACAACTCTTAAGCCAACATTAAAAGCATTTAAATTTGTTACATATTTTTTTTAAGATTATTAAAATTTTTTATCTTTAAATTTTTAAATTAGGGGGGGGGGGTTTAAAAGTAGTCTTAAGGGGGTTTTTCTGCCCAAACAGGGTCTAGTTTTTCAATTATTAAATACCCCTTTAAAATTTTATATCTACACGAAAAAAAAAAAAACCAAAATTTTAAATTTCGATACAGCTCTTATACTGATATAACGTCATATAGTAAAAAACTATTTTTGACAAAACTTTCCCCCCTCCCCCTTTATCTTTCATTTAAAAAATTTAGTTTTTGGTGTTTTATTGAGACCCAAAACACAAGGGGACCGTTTTGGCAAAAAGAGAAAAATTTAAATAGATGGGGTAATGGGTTAACCCTTTTTTCCCCTTCGTTTATCTTAGGGGGAATTTCCCCCAATCATTTAACCCCAAAATTTCCCCAAAACCCCTGCTGAAGTGTTAAAAAGTTAAATAGTCTTTGTCACCAGTATAAAACCTGGCTCTATACTGTTGGTAGCACAATTTTTGTATTTTGAAATTAAACAAGAAGCACACGGGCAACATGTCCAGCCCAGTCACAATGACCTTGAGCTTTGACAAAGTCGAACGGTTCATGCATTCGAGACGCCGTCTCATGGTGTTCAACAATTGTGCCGGGTTATTTGAAAATTCACCAACTAAGTTACGGCGCAGACAAGCTGTTTGGTACCCTTTTTTGCATTTAACCGTAAAGTATGACCTTGACCTTTGACCTAGCCACAAGGTTCTTGCGCTCAACAGGCCATCTCATGTGTTGAACATTTGTGCCAGGTTATTTAAAATTTCACCAGCTACTGATAAAGTTCTGGCGCAGTCTTTTCTTAACGTATGACCTTGACCTTTGACCTATCTACACAGCTCTTGCGCGTGACACACCTTCTCATTATTGTGAACATTTACTAAGTTATTTGAAGTTTTTCCTAAAAAAGACAGAGTTACACCCCCGACAAGCAAAATCCGGATGGATACATACATACACAGAACCCCCATTGTGACAACTATATTGATCTGACCGCAAGTGGACTCAACAAATATCCATACATTTTTAAGGGAAAATTTTTCCCAAAATTTAAAACCGGGTGCAAACCCCTTCAATGAATAAAAACAGGTTAAGGAATTTTTGTAAAGGCAAACATTTTTCAAAATAAAAAGCGGACTAGCCTGGTTTTTTATATAAATTTTGGCACTTTTGGCAAATCGTTGAAAAATTTTAAACATCACACAATTGTTTCTTTAAAATACACAAAGACAGTATAAATTTTACTTCTTTTTTAATTTTTTGAGCCAGTCAAAAATTCATTAAAACAAAAACATCTATCACACATGAATTAATCACCAGGCAAACATTAAATTACCATAGTTATAAAGTATCTCATTTCACACTCTGTTCTTGGGTCACACACAAAAACAATTGAGACAAAAAATAGTTCCAACTTACAATGCTTCTTAGCCTCATTTTAGAACTAAGATAAAAGTAATTATGTCCATATATGTAAGAGCAAAGCAGACAAACTTGTCAAATATGCAAAGTAACTCTTGTACAATGTGAGAGCAAATTTTTGATATGTTCATTTCAAACAAATGTATCATAGGAACCATGACACCTGTAAATAGTTATACCTATTGTTCTCATTAGCTGGAAGTTCCAGTTGTTAGGTAGAATATAGCAGATAACAATAATTACTATACATGTATATATTTAACCCATAACCTGCTAAACTTCTTAAAATGGACTTGTCCAGCTTCCATTTTTTGGAACAGTCCATAATCAATGTTGAGAATATCAAGATAAAAATGAGCCGTGTCATGACAAAACCAACATAATAGGTTTGCGACCAGCATGGATCCAGACCAGCCTGCGCCTCTGCGCAGTCTAATCAGGATCCATGCTGTTCGCTATCAGTTTCTCTACTTGTAATAGAGTTGGTAAGCGAACAGCATGGATCCTGATCAGACTGCGCGGATGCGCAGGCTGGTCTGGATCCATGCTGTTCGCAAACGCACTATGTTGGTTTTGTCGTGACGCGGCTCAAATGTTAAGTCAGCCCAGTGACAGTATGAAGCCTGATCAGACTGCACATAAGGTACAACCTGGCCTAGCTCTATACTGGTGGTGGTAAAGGCTTATCACTTTTACTTCTAGCAGGTTATGGGTTAAATACTCTGTAAAAGTCATTTAAAAAAAACCTACAAATTAACTTTTTAAAAAGTAGATACTAAAATGCTTTAGTCCCCTTGTTTCAAGCTATTGTTATAATTTACCTTCAAATCTTATTCAACTTCACATCTCACATTTCATTTATAGTACTTAATTGTTTTGTATTCAATTTGGTTGATTTTTTTTCCAAGAAGCAAAATACTTGTAAAATTCACCCCCATAGAAATAATTTGTCACCACTATAAATTAAGTTTGGTGGGATGGTAGGCCAATATAATTCTGATTGACAAAAATCTTATGACAAAGGTCTAACAAACAGAACATATAACAGACATTCACATGCCAGTCTTAGTTTTTAGCGCTTGGTAATATCACTTCTCAACAAAAGTTTTATTCATTTTTATCAAGATAGGCATTGTAAATTATACAAGGTTAGCTTTTGGGTGAAATATAAAGATATAATATAACCTTAATCACAAAACTTATCCTGCTTTCTGTTTATTTCAAACATGTTCAAAATAGAATTCCAAACAACATAAACAAGTGAATCGGAAATTGAACGCTGAGGTTTTCTCACAATGCTTTAAGATAAATAATGATTCCATAACTCGAGGAAAGCAAAATTATTTTTATTCATTTATTTTTTCATTTCTCTAATTGCAATTTAAAGCTTTCCTCAATACCTGTCAAGGATAGCACATTGAAAGAAACTTTGTAATGTTCTGTGTAAAAATATAAGACCACAAAACATTTTTGTAAAAATACAAGACCACAAAACATGTTTGACAGATATTGTGTACAGACTAGACCAAACAAAAGAGAAAAAGTAAATATCATAATTTGAGCCGTGTCACGACAAAACCAACATAGTGCGTTTGCGACCAGCATGGATCCAGACTAGCCTGCGCATCCGCACAGTCTGATCAGAATCCATGCTGTTCCCTTACCAACTCTATTACAAGTAGAGAAAACTATAGCGAACTGTATGGATCCTGATCAGACTGCGCGGACGCTCAGTCTGGTGTGGATCCATGCTGGTCGCTAACGCACTATGTTGGATTTGTTGTGATGCGGTGCATTGTCTTAAAGTAAAACACACATGTATCATTGATGATCATTTTCATAAAAAAAAAGAACTAACATAAATAAAATATTATTCCATAAATGCATATAACCCATCATAAATAAACCAACTGTCAGTTTAAAATATTTTGAATATCATACAAATGAAAATGTTGATGATTAAAAAAAAAATCACAGATACATTTGAGGGCCTCTCTTTTACATATTAAGCATCATTTTAAATTATTCTTGACCCTGACCTATACTCACAGATGTTTTAAGATAAAAATCTAGACTTCAAATGTCAGGGTCGGGTCAGCTTGGATACGATCTGCCCAAGCTCGTCACTGTTGACTGGTTAACCTACATATCCACAAAATACCAAAAGCACAGTTTGGAAGCTCAGACCAAGACATTAGGTGAGTTAAGTAAAAGGAAATTGCTGCATTTTTTTGTTATAATGTATAATACATTAAAAAAACAGAATTTATCTTTTAAATAAGTTTTGTTTGTATTGCCACAGATAATAAATTATCATATGAATAGTAAAGTCAAACTTATTTCAAACAGTTTACAGCAGCTTTGCAATCACATTATTATAATCAAAAGAAAGATCGGTCAATCTCTTAAAATCTAATTTTATCCCCTTTTATATAGTGTTATCAATATATTAAGTGACACTTAAAGGTTAATAAAAATCTGAAATATATTTTACTGCATTAGACTCTAGGACAGTTGGCATAATTTGCTGATTATTATAGCCAATCAAAAACAGTTTTAATAAAACAAGGAGCAACAAAATAAAAGTAAAATAAAACTCGAAGTAGTATTAGGAATAAACAATTACAGTTAAAATTTGAGAGTGGCTACACAAAAAAATCTGGATATATCCGGTTAACTATAATTTCATTAATGTCTACCTGTTAGGGTCCATATAGACCAATTAGTATTTGACTTTGGAATTTTTTTTTAACCAAACATAGTTAACATTGTCAGAGTAAGTCCAGTGTGCTGTCAATGATGTTTTACTATAACACATCCAGTTTACATTGTTTTTTCTTTTTTTTTCTTCTTTAAAACTAACTGCCTAACAATGAGTCCATAATCACCTCTAATCACTATGTGATGTTTTTGGGTTTTTTTAAATACCATGCAATGATGAATAAATATTCTTTTTTTTTCTTTCCTTAATTTTTTTTTTTTATCAAATACAGGAGAGATTTAATGAGGCAAAGGAAGGTTAAAAGATACCACTTTAGGGTCATCCCTTACAATAAAAACATTCAAAAGATCTTGAAAAAAAAACCACACTCACATTTTAAAAATTACATGTACATATCATGTAACATTCACACTTTCAGCAAAATATATAATATCTATACAAGAGATAATATATTAATTATATTTTTAAAAATTCAAATCATTTAGAATTATCACAAATAAGTTAACATTTACAAAAGCACCATTAGAAACAAAAAACGAAAAATCTTATTAAGAAAGTCTACAGATCAAAACTTGTTTGAAAACTTCCAGCTACAAGCATATCTGCACTTGTGAAATACAGATCACTTATGTAGGTAATTTTTCATATACGGTATTCATATTTGTCTTTTTACATATAGTGGGTGCTTTCTTTGGCACAAGCAGGTTTTGCCAAAACTTGAAACATCCCTTTCATTATATTAGAGACAAATATATATACAAGAAGGGAGATAATGCCACCAAGATTTTAATAACTTTAGTAAAAATTACTGAAGAGTTGTCCTCCTTTACTTGCATAGTGTTCCAAGTCAGCACATTCTAAAAAAGAACTTAAATCAGGTCTACAAGTTTTGTTTTTTTATTTTTAAAGAAAAAAAAAACAACAACATTGCTTTTTTTAATTTATATCAATAAAAATTATGTAAAATATATAAACTTTTATGTGCTGGTATGTCATTAAAGAAATTTCATTTAAACTGAAAGAAGGTGATTAATGGTAGACTTAAAAAGCATCCATCCACATAAATTACCTATATTACGTCAAAATTTGCGGAAATAGCCATTACTATATGCATAGTAATGAATAGTATATAGTGATAATAATCATAAATTCAATTGTAGTTTGCGCAAAACATGCATCTAATTGCTTTCATTGCAGAATCTAAAAAACATACTTTTCATTACTTTTATTTCCATTTTTCTCTGCATTACACTGCATAACACGAGTATGTAAGCTTCAGTAAAACCAGTAATAAATAAATATTATAGTTTCATTACTGTATTGCTCTGATTTTGAATAAATGTTTAACCCCCTAGATTTTTAGTAAATATTTACCCCCACAGAAATTACCCCTATAGAAAATATTTAACCCCATAGAAATTACCCCTATAAAAAATATTTACCCCCCCCCCCATAGAAATAACCCCTATGGAAAATATTTACCCTCATTTATTATGTATCTACCCACCAAAGCAAGTACAATTCTATCGAAGTTGGTATAAAAATGTTAAGATTTATGATAAAAATACAATACCAAGAACAAACTTAAAACAATACATAACTTTCTGCAACCCAGACACATTTTTTGTTCTATTTTCAAATTTATCCTAGCATTTACCTCAGCAGTTTTATATCTATCTATACTGGTCATACCAACTCTACCAGTAAATTAAATCCTATCATGTTAGATGAACAAGCTTACTTCAAACCATGTGTGTTTTTTTTGTTTTTTTTTTTTACAAAAGATCGATATGTCAAAATAGTGTTGCCTAGAAACAAATTTTTCACTAAATATGCTGTGCTGACCAATTAAAATAATTTTAAGAGCTTTTTACGTCGTTTACATTTCTGAAAAAACACTTCAACTATTTAACCCATTCCACAGCTGATTTTACTTGTGACCAATTGTCTAATTTGAGTAGTATATGGTGTAGTATATAATTATGGTGTACAGTCTAATGACACTGTCCGCATGTGCAGATTTGCCTAGCTTTATACTAATGGCATAGGTGGCTTACTGTTTGAGACTACCACAAAATGGTTCAAGTTAAATTCTAATTTACCAGAATAAGCCTCCATGCAGTAATTACCTCCATGCAGACAGTCTTCAGGTTGTGTACTTTGGACTGATCTATCTTGATAGCCATAGAATTGATAATGGTCAAAGCATAAAATATAAACTTTTTCTTTAGTTAGGTTTTATGTTGCACCAACACGGTAGAAGTCATATGGTGACTATCTAGCTTTACTTGTGGCAGAAGACCTTGGGTGCCCTACTGTGCATTTTTTTCAGGCACAAAAAGGCACCTGAGTAGTTCCTTAAGCTAGCTGGATAGCTTCCGCAAATGAAAAGAATTCAAAGTCCCTATCAGGATTTGAACCCACAACAGCAAGGTTTATAATAACTTAAGGAGGTTATCAGTTGAAGGTTAAATACATACTTTATCATGTTTTTTCATAACAAATAAAGAAGCTCTTATAAATCTTACTTATCCAATTTTCAATACCATGTATGTGATCTGTTATTTTGTGAAAGTTTTCTAAAGGAATAAAGAGTAGAATTTGTAAATTTATCAAGTTTTTTTTAGCACATGTTGAAAGGATTAATTTATTTAAGATAAACAAAACAAAAATGAAAAAATATATTTTTTTTTCATTACATATCAGCCTTTGTAATAAATACTACAATCCAATATGTACTTTATATTTGACCATGATCTTCATTCATAATTATGTAAAAAATAGAATAAAATAAAAGACTTTTTTTCTTCAGTATTGTAAGACGTACCTTATAAATACATTTCTACAAAACACAACAATATATATTTTTATAAATGTTTAAAACTTACTATGTTATCTTTAAAAAGGATAAAATATATGTATATATGCTTCAAATTTGCATATCTAGCAGAAATAATCTGCTGCTTGTAATGGCAAAATACTGACCAAACAATAAGAAATAATAAACTAATCTTGTTTTTTCCATTGGAAAAAAGTCTTCAATCTTAACATGATTTTATAAAGAGTAAATACCTATACAAGTACTTAGCTGAAGAAACATATGCATATAAAACTTTCTATGATGTTACATTTGGCTTAAAAATCTAATATTAAAAGAAAAAAAATTTGATAATTAATAATTTAAAAAACATACATTAAGAAAGAAAAAAGACAAAAAAAACTTGACAATTTCATATATTAATGCCTGCAAGGAGTTCCTGACACAGTTGTTGATAACAACCCCTATCTCCCGAGATTCTACGAACTTGAAGCCTACTAGCATCTACCCCTTCACAAACTTCCACTTCCATAGAAACGTCCGAATTAGCCAGCTGCACTCGATTTTCTGAGCACTTATAAGCAATCTGGGGACCACTTTGTTCTAATATCTTCCTGATATCATTCAGAATATCTTCCACTGATCGTTTTGATGAGACATTCACATAAGAACCTACTTTGGTCAATTCACACTCTCCACCCACTTTTAATGATGGAGCTGAGCCATTAATATCGGTTCTCTCTGATTGGCTATTGCCTGAAGTTATCAGCCAATCACTGGCTGTCTTACTATACATGCCCTCACTACTAATCTCCCATCCTTTTGGAGATGATGGCTGCGAATGTTGAGCACTAAACTTTCCTGTATAATTGCTGAAACTCCCGATGTTTGGTAAATTAGCGGCATTTTGAATACTTTGAAGTCTTTGCAAGTACAGCTGTTGTTGATGAGTTAACCAATTAACATTTGAGGAGGTATAGTACAAATCTTGAGTAATTCCGGTGACCTTAGTCTCCGGTGGAATGTTTGCAAGGTTTGAGTGAACTGGGCTACCATATGGTAACTTGTAGTTGTAATTAAAGGGTAAACTTGTGGGAACATTCGATGGTGAACTAGGCGAAACTGTTGCACTGTCAGAATTGTCTCCCTTTTCTGATTCGGAATCTCCATCTGAAGTGACAGCAGTCACATGACCCTGTGTGTCTGTTATACTAATCTGAGGTTTACCCTTTGGGTATGCCCTTTGATTAGCAGCAACTGGATCAGTGTTGTCACCGTTTTCTTGCACTAACATATCTTCTTCACTTTCTGATTGTGAACTTTTATCCAAGTCTAGTGAATCTTCTTTAATTATTTGTAAGTTCTGAAAATTTGGCGGAGGACTGCTCCTATGATGTCCTGGGGGGATGTTCTGTAAGAGATTTGGAAATGACTGAGGTGGACTTTCCGAGCCTTGTTGGCCGAGACTAGCTAAATTCGGGGGACTACTTCTTCGGAATGTTGGCGAACCAGCACCCCTGATTTGCTGAGTTAGATGAAGTCTCTGTAAATGCTGATATAGGTTGGCACTACTCTGAGAATCTGGGCTAGATGGACTACGATGCTGAAAGACGGGTGATGCTGGTGTGACCGGCGGGGACGGAATACGTGATGCTGACATACTTGCTGGACGACGATGTAACAAGTGATGCTCTGTTCCACTAATTACTTGCTTCTGTGAATATAGAAAAGAAAGGAAACAAATTAATTCAAAACTTTTGTAATGTAAATGAGCAATGAATAATAGTCAATAGATTTACCTTAATCAGTAAAATCAAATGTGTGACCTTGATCTTTCAGCAAAAAGTTGGCCTTGGAAAATCAAAAACATAAGAATCATAAATACTAATTCCCATTTAAGACATTTTGATTTCTAAGTTTGAACCAGACTTTGACTTGCATGCCAGTCAAGAACATATTATCTCATGATGGTGAACATGTTTGCTTTATCATTCAAAATGTGCTTATGACTTGACAAGCCTTGGACTAAATATATATTTTGACTTTTAACCTCTGTATGTTACTTTCATCATGAATGATGGTCTCCTGCAAGACATATCCTTTCAATACATTAATGTTTCTGTGATTCCATTAAAACTGAACATTATGTGGAGCAGACACAATCACTGACATACAGGCAGACATCAAGCAGAAAGTCAAAATGTGACCCCGATCCCCCAACCATTACTACTATTAATGAAGAGACATATCTCAGAATAGAATTTTCTCAAAACCTTCACCATTGACCTCCATATCCAACTCTCATTGGATCATTAGATCCGTTAATGTTCAATAATTACAGTTACATTCTTATATAAAACAACAGTTATTATAAAAACAATTGCAAAATAATGAAGTATTGTTAAAAGAGCCATAGACCTCACAGCAACATGTGAACATTACCAAGTTTCCATGATTTTTGTAGGACAAATTTAAAACTAGAAATGTACCTTTATGCCCCTAACCCTACCAACATGTGAGAATATGAAAAATAGATCTCTTAAATTTCTTTTTTAAATGCTAGGGAAAAGAAGTCAATAAAATATGATAAAATTCAGGTTTGTTTTCAATTTCTGCTTTCCAACAGATATGTTAACAATGCAGACTTATTCTGCCACAGTTTCACATAGTTAATATTTTACTTGATTCCAGTCCTATGTCTTTGCTTCACACAAGCTGTTATTTGCTCCACATAACTAAATCTAACCTCTCTTACTTTTAAAGAATATAAATTTTCCAAGAATAAATCAAGATGACAAGGTCTACATCTAAAATCGATTGTAACTCCTCCTGCATGTTATATAAAAGTTACAACAAATTGACACCATGCCTTTTAAACAGTTATTCATTCAAAGCTTTCTGTGTTCTAATCTGTAACTACTAGTATTACTTTTCTGTGTTTTGAATTTTAGTTGTTTTTCTTAAAAGTGTATTCATAAAATACAATTATCCAACCCTGAAGTCTGTTGTTAATAAACATAAAAGCTTTCTAAATTTTGAACATCTGACCTTAAAAGTCAAGGTAATATAGGAGTCAAGCTCATATTTCACCATGCAAAACTAGAATTCTCAGGCATCAGGCATGTTAAATCATATGTTAAATCAGAGTATTTAAGCTGCAGGGAGAATGTCAAGGTTTAAAGATTGACCAAAAAGGAAGGTAAATGCAGGATAGAAACAATAGAAAGCATATAATATTGCAACCCTCAATGATCTTGTTATTTCAGAGGCATAAAAAGGTCTAACTTATATTTCACCAGACATAATGCATCTCTTTGTCAAATCATGAACTTAAATTTCCTATACACATTTTTGTATCTCCAGTGATCCAGACTCCGAACTAACCTAACAGTTATCTGTATTGAAAATAACTATAACAAAATACCAGGGAGTATTCCCACAGCAAATACAGGTAATTGATAGCATAGCACCTACTATAATCGCTAGATCACAAAAGCCCCAAACAATGAAAATATTTATTTATACATTGGCATGAAATGCAATTTTTAACTGGAACAAGAGCCATGTCAACATGGCCATCCCCCGCCGAATGTGTTTGCTCATTGGAAGAATGTATATGTAGTAGAGCAGAATAATTCCATTTTAAGAGGTCTTTTCGTAATGAAAACTGATGGCTATAGTGATTACAGATTTGAAACCTATGTGAATACTGATGGCTGAAAATAACAAAGGGCAATAACTGAAAAATAATGCAGGGTAGGTTATCATTCTTGTGTGCTGCATCCCTCCTCAGTAAAATCTATCCACCTATGAAGTTTCAAGTTGATACCTCAAATACTTTTTGAGAAAAAAATTGAATTGAAAAATTAAGTATGAAAAACAACAAAGGGCAATAACTCAAAAATTATAAAGGTAGAGTTATCATTCTTGTGCACTGCACATCTCCTGAGTTAGATCTATGCACCTATGAAGTTTCATAATGATATCTCAAAGGCCTTTTGAATTATGCTCTGGACAAAAATTAATTTTGAAAAATAAAACAAGAGGGCCATGATGGACAAAAATTAATTTTGAAAAATAAAACAAGAGGGCCATGATGGCCCTAAGGTCGCTCACCTGTATGTAGGTCCCCGGAGCGGGGTTAGTTTAAACCCCAGGGCTTTTATTTGAACAAACTTGGAAGACACCTATAAGAAGATGTTTCATGATGTACACACTTATAATGAAAAACAATGATCTGCCCTCCCCTACCCCCGGCAGGGCCAATTTTAACCAAGGGCTTTTATTTGAACAAACTTGGAAGACACCTAAGAAGATGTTTCATGCTAAACATCTAAGCTGTAGCTCATTGGGTTTTTTAAAAGAAGATTTTTTAAGTTTTTACTATACACATATAGTTAAAAACAATGACACCCCTGGGGCGGGGCCAGTTTTGACCCCAGGGCTTTTATTTGAACAAACTTTGTAGACACTTACTAGAACATGTTTCATGCTTAATATCTAAACTCTAGCTATTTGGGTTTTTTTCAAAGATGTTTTTTAAGTTTTTGCTATACACATATAAAGAAAATCAATGACCCCAGGGGCAGGGCCAATTTTGACCCCAGGGCTTTTATTTGAACAAACTTTGTAGACACTCACTAGAAGATGTTTCATGCTTAATATCTTAACTCTAGCTATTTAGGTTTTTTCAAAGAATACTTTTTAAGTTTTTGCTATACACATATATAAGGAAAATCAATGACCCCCAGGGCGGGGCAAATTTTAACCCCAGGGCTCTTATTTGAACAAACTTGGTAGACACCCATTAGAACATGTTTCATGCTAAATATCTAAGCTCTAGCTCTTTGAGTTCTTTAAAAGAAGATTTTTTAAGTTTTTACTATATACATATAGGGAAAATCAATGACCCTCTGGGGCGGAGCCAGTTTTGACCCCAGGGCTTTTATTTGAACAATCTTGGTAGACACCCATTAGAACATGTTTCATGCTAAATATCTTAGCTCTAGCTCTTTGAGTTCTTTAAAAGAAGATTTTTTAAGTTTTTACTATATACATATAGGGAAAATCAATGACCCCCTGGGGCGGAGCCAATTTTGACCCCAGGGCTTTTATTTGAACAAACTTGGTAGACACCCATTAGAACATGTTTCATGCTAAATATCTTAGCTCTAGCTCTTTGAGTTCTTTAAAAGAAGATTTTTTAAGTTTTTACTATATGCATATAGGAAAAATCAATGACCCCCTGGGGTGGGGCCAATTTTGACCCCAGGGCTTTTATTTGAACAAACTTGGTAGACACTCATTAGAAGATGTTTCATGCTAAATATCTTAGCTCTAGCTCTTTTGGTTCTTTAAAAGAAGATTTTTTAAGTTTTTACAATATGCATATAGGGAAAATCAATGACCCCCTGGGGCGGGGCCAATTTTGACCCCAGGGCTTTTATTTGATCAAACTTTGTAGACACTCACTAGAAGATGTTTCATGCCAAATATCTAAGCTCTAGCTCTTAGGGTTTTTTAAAAGAAGACATTTAAAGTTTTTTCTTTCGGTTGCCATGGCAACCAGAGTTCTGCATGGAATTAAATTCTTTGAACAATTTTTAAAGGTGACCACCAAAGGAACATTCCTGTGAAGTTTGGATGAAATTGGCTTAGTGGTTTATGAGGAGATGTCATTTAAAGTAAAAGTTTACGGACGGACGGACGGACGGACGAAAAGCGATCACAAAAGCTCACCCTGTCACTTTGTGACAGGTGAGCTATAAAGGGCAATAACTAAACAATTATGCAGGGTAGAGTTATCGTTCTTGTTCACTGCACTCTTCCTCAATGCGATCCATCCACCTATGAAGTTTCAAGTTGATACCTCAAATACTTTTTGAGATAAGCTCCGGACAAAATAGTATGAAAAAGAACAAAGGGCAATAACTAAAAAATTGTACAGGGAAGAGTTATCATTCTTTTGCACAGCATTCCTCCTCAATAAAATCTATCCACCTATGACATTTCATGTTGACATCTCAAACACTTTTGAGTTATGCTCCACTCGGGTGAAAAATTATGTATGAAAAATAACAAAGGGCAATAACTCAAAAATTATAAAAGGTAGACATATCATTCTTGTGCAGTGCACACCTCCTGAGTGAGATCTATGCACCTATGAAGTTTCATTTTGATATCTCAAAGGCTTTTTGAGTTATGCTCTGGACAAAAATTAATTTTGAAAAATAACAAAGGGCAATAACTCAAAAATAATCCAGGGTAGAGTTATCATTCTTAAGCACTGCACTCCTCCTCAATGAGATCCATCCAACTTTGAAGTTTCAAGTTGATACCTCAAATACTTTTTGAGATAAGCTCTGGACAAAATAGCATGAAAAAGAACAAAGGGCAATAACTCAAAAATTGTATAGGGAAGAGTTATCATTCTTGCGCACAACATTCCTCCTCAATAAGATCTATCCACCTATGACATTTCATGTTGATATCTCAAACACTTTTTGAGTTATGCTCCGCTCAGGTGAAAAATTAAGTATGAAAAATAACAAAGGGCAATAACTCAAAAATTATGAAAGGTAGAGTTATCATTCTTGTGCACTGCACACCTCCTGAGTGAGATCTATGCACCTATGAAGTTTCATGTTGATATCTCATAGGCTTTTGGAGTTATGCTCTGGACAAAAATCAATTTTGAAAAATAACAAAGGGCAA